TCTCTGGTCAAGCACAAGCCCCCTTCTGCAGGCTGAAGGCCCGGGAAAGAAGCCTGGTTCAGCATAGTGCCCTGGTCTCGTTTCTAACGTTTCCATGCTGTAAGATCCCACCGTGCAGCAAGAGGAACAGCAGAGAGTATGGAACTGGTGATGTACTTTGCTCAGGAGGTGCTGAATTGCTCTTGTAGCTGGTGTCACCTCTTGTGTGAATGTTCTGGCCTTGCAACAGGACGGGAGGACTTTCAGTGCTTGAGCTGTAGGAAGAGCACAGAGCAAGGCAGAGAAATACACACCAGACCCGGCAGGCAACAGGCCAGATCCACCCTGCATCCTGGTCTGGGGCAAAGCTTTTTTTTGGTCTTTTTTGAGAAAGGGTTTCACTATGCAGTTCAGGTTGGCTTGAACTCACTTTTTAGCCCTGGCTGGCCTCGCACTCACAGTGATCCCCCTGCCTCAGCCTCCTGAGTGCTGGGATTACAGGTGTGTACCACCATACCTGGCCCTAAGCATCTTTCAAAAGATTAACACATCCACATGCAGAGCTGAGGAGAAGCTGACCTGGGCATTAAGACAGCAAAAGGAATGACACAAATGAACATAGAGGTGTGTGACTGTTATCCTGTTTCAGTCACCTATCTGATGTCCATAGGCTCAAGTGATTTAGCAAAAGTGCCTTCACAGTTCCTCAGGGCAACCTGAGAAGTTGTCACCATAACCCACAGGTCACAGGTGTTGTCTTTCAGCCTAACTAGTGAGAGGCTCAGCTGTGTGACCTCCCGAAGCGGTGACTTTTTTAGTCCATTAAGACATAGTAAGTCCATTAAGACACAGTAAGACATAGGGTGTTTAACTTAGGGTCTTTATTTTTCTTCTCTGTGACACATTTACTTTCAACTGGTAACAAACAGGTCGAGTGCCCAGGGATATATACATTTTCTCCCTTGTAGTGGCCATGTCCCAGTCCTCAAGGGTCTTCCCGGAGCTCGAGCTTGGGATGATTTCTCAGCACCACACGGGCCGCTCACACAGAACATGTTTGACAGAGTTTCTGCTCTCTGCCCACACCAGCCCGAATCTGCTCCTCCTGATACCCTTGTCCTGACTTAGCTGGTGGCACCTCCATGGTTCCAGGTGCTCAAGCCAGAAGACAGGTCATCCTGGGTTCCTGTCTGCACCCATGCCTGCAAATCCCACCTGCTCTACCTTCAAGGTTTACCTCAGATCCCACCACTCGGTGGCACAGTTGGTGCTCCCTTGGTGCCCTCCACCCTGTCCCCATCTGGATGTGTAGGCTCTTCTCTCTTCCCTCCCCCTCTCCCTCCCTCTGCTACTGGGCTTGCAGATTTTGTGACAGGGACTCCAGAGTCTTGGCATCTCCTCCTTCAGCTGTCTTTCTCTCACCTGTCAGCTTCGAGCAGATCTCCGCTCAGCTCTGCATGCTTATCACTAAAGGAGTATCAGTGTTATGAGGCTTATTGGCCCCAAACGTAGCCAGTCTATCTCATCCTCCTTCAAGACTGAAGGGACCCAGATATGTTTAAATAAAGTAACTTTCAAGATCTGTGGAGACATCGAATTGCCAGCCTTTGGGGTCCAGTTCCAGACCACCTGGAGTGCTGCCTAGGCGTCCTGAGTCATTGCCCTGAATGTGCAGCCACCTGGATTCCAGGAAAAGCAGAGCCTCACAGCCCAGCCCACGATGAAGTCTCCCCCAGGTGAGAGCTATGACATCATGACTGAAACCGGGGGTGCCCAGTGGATAAAGAGAACTTGGGAATTGTGCACAGTGGTGTGTTACTGTGCCATAAGGGAGGATGAACTTGTGTCATCTGTAGGAAAGTGGATGCACCTTGAGACTATAATGCTAATGCAGTAAATCAGACACAGAAGGCTAAATACCACATGGTTTCTCTTACATGAGGAACTTAACATCTAAAAATTTAGGAGCAAAATAAAAGATGATAGGAAAGAGGGAGATAGACTTTGTGGAGATGGGAAGGGGATCAGTCTATGGGACAAGACAGGAGGGAAGGGGAAAAAGAAAAAAGAAGGCACTCCAGATCGTATTTAAAGAAATGAAACGGAGGCTTCCCACCCTAAACCAGAGGAATCTCTCATGATGGAAACGGGACTGCTCCCTCAAGCTGTAACAGCTCTCCCAGGACCTCGCAGACCCAGCCTGTGATAGCCATCACCCAAACCATGAGCTGACCAGGATGACCTATGGCTGCCCCCTGTGCCAGCTCCCAACCCTTGCCCTGGTGTGTCAGGCAGAGGTCTGGGAGTCTCCTGAAGACCCTCTCTGCTTCCCTGGTTCATCTCTGCACCCGGCAGATGAAGTGAGGCTGACTCAGAGCCAAAAGTCTCTCCATCACAGAATAAGGACCTCAGAAGGCAAAAGTAAAGTAAAGCAGGAGTTTTACTGTAATATTGCAAAGGCAGGGAGAAGTCAGGGTGAGCTTCTCAGCATGGTGTCTTTGCCTTGTCCCTACTTACAAAGTTAAGCTTATTTGCTAAAAATAACTATTTCACTGATCAGAACAATCAGGGCCTTCACTTTTGTTTCTGGGAAGGGGACAAGATTAGTTAGGGATTTCTTAAGCACGAGTAACTTTCTTATAAGGAAATAGCAGGGTACGTTTTCTCTAGTGCATGGTACACAGAGAAGCATGTGATGTTTTTACAATCGTCAGCCACAGATAAGCATGTGATGATGTCTGTGGCAGATGAGCATGTAAAGATTCTGCCATCATCAGCCATCTAGACCTTGCCCTGGGTCCCTGCCTACCTGCTCCCTACACCCTAGTGTAGACTGTCCCTACAGCCCTGCTTCCCTTTCGGTAAAGCCCCGTCAGCCCCTTCGAGACAGACCTTGAGCCTCTTCATCTGTGCTTCCCAGTGTGGCCACGTTGACCAAGCTCTTCTGCCCTTCACCACTGGTCATCTCCTCGGTTGGCATTTTGGGACTGGTGGCTGAGCCTGGCCTACTGTGGGGCTTTTGCTGCTGGTGAAAGTCTCAGTAGGATGAAGCCCTTATAAAGCAGTGATGCTCAAGGGGCAGTAGGGGCAGAAGAGTTTGCCCCTGCAAGGGAAATAGTCTTTTTTGTTGTCATAACAACACAGAGACCACAACAGGGACAGAGGACAACCAAACTCCTGGACCCTTAGCCTGTAACTAATTAAAAACCTGATTTGCATTGTTTTCTGAGGCAGTTAGGGAATTGAAAGCAGTTTTTTGCTTAACAGCAGTGACTTCACTCGGGCCTATAGATGCCCAGTCAGTAACTAAAGGCAGAGCAACATGGGGCCTTCACTTTTTCACCTTGAAAATTCAGATCAGAGCCCTTGTTTAGTCTACATACAGGCATGGTGATTATTTAGGGAAGTTCTGTTTAAAAGTTGCCAAAATTAGGTTGGTTAGGCCTATTGTTATTATGTTTGTGGTACTCAGGATGGAACCCAGGGCCTTTACATTAAACTACATCCCCAGCCCTATCTATTTAATTATCTATATACAGGGTCTTGCTAAGTTGCTAAGTTTCCCAGGTGAGGCTCTGAAAACCCTAAAAGTACAGGACCTGTCTAATTTCTCTTTTAAGACTGAGGACACTTGAGAGGCTGAGGAGGAATGCTGTGAGTTTGATGGCAGCCTGGGCTGGGACAAAAGTCAAGAACCTACTCCTGAGTGGACAGCATCCTCTCCTCTTTGGGGGGACCTCCTTGGACCTCACCCATTGACAATAACTGGGGAGGTGGGAGAGTTGTATGCTATTAGGATTTAGTAGGCGGAAGCCAGGTATGCACAACTTCCTTCCTACAATTACGGTATCAGTAACAAGTAAAAACACAGGTCCTGATAGGATAGCAAGGTGACATGAGATAATGGAATTCCCTGTTACCCGAAATTCAAATTTAACTGTATTTTATATGGTGATCCTCCCTATAATGTACTATTAGGCAAAAATACGGAGTGTGGAGCTTGAGAATCCCTGCCAAACGGGAGTGGTCTTTAAGCCCTAGTTTACTTCACAAATTGTCCAGGGCTTGTAAGGTGCAGATTTTTACCCATCCTTGGATTTTACCATTTTCTCTCTCTTTTTTCCTTTTTGTTTTTTGGTTTCTGTTGGGGCTTGAACCCAGGGCCTCACAACCTTGGGCAAGAGCTCCACCACACATCTCTGCATCCCCAAGCCCCGTTTCTGATTCAGGAGTTCTGGGGTGATACCCCGGGATTTGCACGTCTATCGATTTTCCCGTTGACAGCTGCTGCTAGTTTCAGGCCACACGCGAGAACTGTGATCATTCGGCAAGGAATATCGCTGCAGCGGGGTGAGCACTGGTTCTCCCGGCAGGGGGCACTTCCGCGTTCGGTCCCCGGGCCTCGGAGCACTTCCGGGCGCCTCTAGGCGCCTCGGAGGTCCGGGCATCTCCATGGTGTCCCAGGATGGGGGCGTGCCCTGGTGGGGGCGTGGCGAAGAAGGCGGGCCCAGGCGCGGCGAGTGTTCTCTTGCCGGACGTTGCGAGGCCGCTACGCCTCCCCGCAGCGCGGAGTCTGGTCCCCGGCCACGCGCAGCCCTTTTGGGGTCAGGTCCGGCCTGTCCTGCTATGCGTCACCCAGCTTGTGCTGCAGGAAAGGCCCCGACAAGCATCGGGCCTTGAACTTTGTTTTCTTAGCGGCGCCCGAGGCCCACACCCTCGGTGCGGCACGCGGCCGGTAGGTGGACGGGACCCGGGCAGGGACAATGGACCGCGAGGCGCGCGGGTTTCAAGGCCGCGTGGGGGCGCTGCGGCTGGCGGCCTGGGGGCGGGGCTGAGGCTGGGCGGAGCTGGGGGGCGTGGCGGAG